AATCTTTTTTTAATCCATTTCCATTCATTTCTCCTTCTAGAAATTGGAAAACAAGAATACAAAACAACACCAGGAAAGCTTTAAATATTTAACAATATTAATAACATCCTATTTAGCAAATATAGATGTAAAGCAACACTCATACATAGTAAAGCAGGAATAAAAACCAATACTACTAATGCAGGGATCAACTGGACGTTCTAAAATTCAATAAGCAGATGACTTCTAGACCGAAACAGCTTGAACACATATCTTATAAATCCATCCCAAAAGAAGGGATGAAGCTTTCAAAATATTCGAAAAAGATGACACCAAATGAATAAACTACACCATTTGCATGGAAGAAAAGGCAAAAGCAAGAAAACAGAAAATGAGTATTGAACTAAAATCACCAATTGCTCATATCAAGAGAAAGTATAGAGTTTGCAAAGTTTAAGGGATGGCTAAGCAGTTTATTTATTTTCTTTTTATGGCATTACAAGAATAAATACAGCTAGCACATTTACAATTAGCTTTTTTAGTATTTTAATTTCATACTGTAATCTAGCAGGGAGATATTGGAGTTTGATTAGAAGGCTTTGGCTAAACTCTGGGTTGGTTTCCAGTTTTTTTTAGAAAGATATATTATTTTAACATTTAATATGAGCAAGACTAATGAAAGTCCATCACCTACTTAGACAAGAAGACAACGATATTCATTCCAAAAGAAGAAAACAAGACAAGGACCTGAACAACCAGTCCACCACCAGCCCAAATTCAATAAAAATAATTACCCAAAGAAAGTAACAAATTTCCATAAATTTCCTTGCTAAAAAGTGACAAACACTATTAGTGCCAGATGGTGAAAAGTTCAATACTCATCAAACAAGTTTATAATTTAACTACCAGGGAATGAGAACATCACAGAGGGCCGGAAAAAGAGAATACATAGTCCTGTTTAGCATTGTACTTCCTAATAAGAAGATTCATGAAGCATAGATAAGAGGACTAAATAAATCGACCAATAGGACCACACTCTTATGTCATCATGCACAACAAGAATCATGTCATCATGCACAACAAAAATCATTCGCAACAAAAATTCTGTTGAATTCTGTTTTTGTTTCGTGGATAATGTCGAGTCGTACTTTACGCTACATGTCTGCTGAGAGCCGATGGGGAGAATGACATGATGTTCAAGCATAAGAAAAGGAAAATGGAGGTGAGCTTGAGAGGAAGATAGATTTGGACAAAATCTTTATTATCCAAAACAGAAATACAAAAATGGTGAAAGTAAGAGCTCTGTATTATGGAGCTTGAACTACATAAGAGAAGTAGTATAATGCTTTGAGAATATCTCTTCAGAGAATATAGATGCTTAGCTGTCTTTTCCCTCTCTCTCTCTCTCACTATATTTTTGACATACAATCTTCTCTAGAGGAGCTTTCGCAAAAAGAGAAGAAGAAGATTCAGAATATCCTTCCTCCCTTTCCTCCTCCTTTTATAGGGTTCGAAAAGATGCAGGAGTTATGTATTGGCGATCCACACTAAAGTAAATGCTGCTAACTGGACAACATATTAAAAAAAGTCTAAGAAAGAACTTGTTTGTTGGTTGGGCCGCAGGCAAAAATCACATTGGGGAATTGCCATATGGCACGAAGGCAGCACCAATATGCTTTCAGCCGAGAAGCCTACTACATCTACTACCTAATAGAGGCCATGGCCTCTACTGAAAAGTCAGGACTTTCTCAGCAAATTGCCGGAGCAGGGGACACCAAAAGGTGTATTTTCCACTAAACAATGAGGCACCGATTGGGGACTTTACACAAAGCCAAACTCAACTTAAAGCATCATCCTATGGATCAGCAAACTCCGATCAAACCACAAGGTTGCGAAGCAAAGAAAGGCCAGAATGCCCTGCTTTTGGGCTTGATCCAGCACAAACACCCCCCCCCCAAACCCCCCCCCCCCCCAAAACACCGATTCATATCCTATTTCTGCCCACGCAATCGATCTACCAAACCCCCCCCCCCCCCAAAACACCGATTCATATCCTATTTCTGCCCACGCAATCGATCTAACGAAGACTTTCATTTCACAGGGTCACAATGAGAACCTTATTGGCAAACTTCTTCTCATGATTGAGAAGAAAGAAAGTGACTGTGACACGCCTCCTTCCTCTAATTGGTACAATTATCACTAATTCCTTCTATTCGGCCTATAGGTGATAGAGACTCTTCCTAGTTCTAATATAAGGTAGGAAGGTAATGAAGCTAAGTTGATTCGTTCACATCTGTCCTGACTAATCAGAAAGTAAGCACTATTCCACTAATAGCTTCGACCCTTCCTTTAGATATCACGTGCCCATATTCCTAAGACCGATTTACATCATCCAAATTGTCCAGCAAAAGAGGACTGTCGGATCGGGATCAACTTATGTGGCGAGATGTCTTGGATTAGACTTCCTGTCTGATCCACTACGAGATTTTGGCTTTCTAAGACAATTTCCTACTAATGGCGGGGCGAGCTTAACAACTGGCGATTAGTAGAAGAGCAATTAGTCTTACTCCAAAAACAAATTTTCAGCTTAGATCTATCTTTTCCCACCATCTTCCTTTTATAAAAAGATACTAGTTCTAACCATCAACGTACTCCTTTCAATAATATCTGCCGAAAAGTCTATTGGTGAATGAACCCAGGCTTCTCTTGGTCCAAATGTCAATCTCGTCAATTGTGGGGATAAGTCTTGGATCTTAGTAGGTGGGCAGGTTTAGAAGGATTATAAATGCATATGGAATGAGCTGCATTTCTCATTAGTTCATTTCTAATGATCATTGTCTTCCTTCTTGCCTTTGTACCATTTTGTCATGGACCTACTACCTAGCGTGTAGAGGCAAAAAATCTTTCCCGAAGTTGGAACAAGCTTTTCCAATGAAATGAACCATGTGTCGGTAGATAGGATTGTGATAAAGCATTGTCTTGTAGGTATCTGCTGCGTATGTAATTGGTCCATAGGTTGTCGATGCCATAGCAGTTTTCACCTGAAGCTGAAGAAAACTTTATAAATGAGGATTTGTTGCAGTTGTTGCCCCCTACCATATTCGATGAAAATAAAAGTCTATTGATTAGCACCCCCGATTAATCTTCAAAAGATCTATCAAACTCTGGAATGAATCATTTGATCACTGAATATTCAGATTTGATTCTTTCTTCAACTTCAATTGGCAAGAGGGCGCTTATGCCCTGACGGTGGGACCTTATGGGGACAGCTCAATATGGACAGCACACCCCCAACTTGAAGCGCACCTCTTTATCGACTTTCTCCTGATCAAAAGCGAAGGAAGGAGTTACAATGCCCTTCTCTAAGAATTGAGTTATGTCTCCTTGCGAGCTAGTCTAAATTGTAGTGTTAAATGATATTTCTTCCACCTTCCCTTCTCGTCATCCAGGCACCGCATCAATTTTTAGTCCTCGTGAAGGAACAACAAAGTTATGAAAAAAATCAGCATCTGTAAAAAGAAATCAGATGTGTGTATCAATTGGTACTACTACTCAGTTATCAAATTCAATTTATCAACATCTAGTATTCGTAGTTATCTGTCTTCTAGATCTGTTTCAGGAACCATGTATGGATCAAATTCAATTGCTCTCCATCTTCATTAAGAAAATCTGAGTCTTCGTATGACATCGTCTAATAAGAGAAAGGCATATTGTTTGAGTTGTGAACCTGAATCCAACTCTTGATAGCCTACCTACGATGTCTTCCGCATGGATAGAATAGACTTTTTGATTAACTTGATTAGCTTGGTTGGCTCGGAAGGCCCAAGATCCGGAGAAGAAAAATCGGTTCGGGGGTCAACCAATCCACTATAGCCAGTCTCATTTTAAGCAATAGTTCCCATGGTCTTTAGGGCTTTAGGTTCTCAAGTTGGGAAATCCTGTTCGAAACGTAGTTGTCCCATCAATCTGTAATAGAGGCTTGTCGATGCCAAGCATGTCAGCGACTAGAGAAGGCAACTTGGATAACGTCGGATAATGATTAGTAATCACCCTGTCGAGGTGGAAGAGGGAGGGTGTTATCGAACTGTCGTTGATGGGATATGGCGAAGCGATCTGGATCACCCCATTATAGTAGTATGGTGAGTGGAGTCCAGTATGGCCTTCAAGCATATGTGAAGAAAATCTTCTAGGGGGTAATGTATGTCGGTGGCTCATTGACATATCGATCATGAAGTATTGGTTCTGGCTTAGATGGATAAAGATGTATCTAGCCAAGAGAAGAACTTTTGAGGTCACCTTTCCTCTAGAGGAGACAACTTGCAAGAGGATGTAATCGGTCCAAGTCCGTCGTTCTCAAGTGTTAAGCTCTCTCCAACTCCTAAGCGAGTCCCTCGAATGAGCTGCTCTAAGAGTGGAATGTGTTCTTCTATCGCTAGACCTGAATGCAACCTACGGACAGATATTTGCACAGATATATATGGGTGTACAAATTCCACATCAATATATTATCACTAACTGAACAAAATAAAAAATCTGCCACTAGTCACTGTGTTCAATAAGAAAACCAATAGAAATATGAACAGATCTGCCTATGAAAATGAAATATAACCCTATGGTACGAAGAACCAAAAAAAAAAAAGAATCAATCAATTCATTCCGAGAGAAATCAAATTAGCTATTTAATAATAATCTTCGTGTCTTCAACAAAAACAAGCAATTAAGAAAATTGAGTAACTATTCAGGCTATTTGATAAAAAACAGAAAAGAGAAGACCATTTTATCATATTTATATAATAACGTAATTTTGTAGAATTAAAAGACAACTGCTTTTTACTGAAAAATGACACTAAAAAAAAAATTCATAGACAAAATTGAGCTTCTTATGTTTATAATCAAATCCCTTTATCTTCTGATCATGTCGTATCAGGAGCTCTTGACCCAATTTCTTCCACTGAAATACATGCAGCAGGGAAATAGAAGACTAGTAAAAAAGGTGGAAAGGATCAGTTTGAAAGACGAACCATATGGTCGCAATCAACCATCTGCTGCTCGCTAAGGGTAACTAAATTCCCCGTTGCCAGAAAATTCGCCCCTTCCACAGCAGCTGCCGCACTAAACGACCAGCAAGAACCACAAGACCCCTAAAGAAAATCATTATTATAATTACACTAAATGTCAAAACACATAGATCATCCCTAAAGAAAATCTTATTCAAAAATAAAAACCTGATCCTTTACACCAGTAACAGCGCCTTGATCCCTCCAGTCAAAATCAGTAGGGAGATTATTCGTTGGCAAAATCGGAGCCTCGTGTATGCTTCCAAGTAAGCGGCGGCTTGGCCTGACCCCAAGATACTTCCGGCGGAACTCCGCCGGCGTGAGATCCGAGAACTTGGTTATTCCGTGAACAGCCGAAGGGTCGAGCTTCTGGTGCCTCATCGCACGCCTAAGATTCGCCTTAAAGACCTTGAATCGATGCGCGTGCTCTTCGGAGTTGGAGTAGCTCTTCCCGAAGGTTCGGAGAAACCTGGAGAAGTAAGCCTCCGCATTGAGGATGAGATCGTTCCCAACATCGTCGGAGGCAGCGGTGCCGTTCACTACCTGCCGGATCAGGGCATCCTCCTCGCAGACGGCTAAGGTTGTGGCAAAGACGAAGAGGAAGAGGAGGGGGAGTAGGCGAGCCATGGAATTCGAGATGGTAGATTAGGTAATGGGTATCTCTCTGTCTCTCTCGATAGAATTTATCATCGAGGTTGCGTGCCTGGTTAGTTGGCCATGGCAGCATTAGCCTCTAAGACGTGACAGGTGGCCATTCGTGACTGAAAAATATCTTCATTTTTTTTTTTAATATTCGGCCCACGCCTTTTATTGCTAATAGAAGATGTTTTTTTTTTGGAAAAATTTGGGGCGGAGCCAATTTTATAAATAAAAAATATTACAAGTAAAGTAAAACTGCAACTATAATCCTAAATCACAAAAAGAGGATTTAGGATTCTAAAGGAAAATTACAAGAGGAAAATAGAGCATAGTGGCTGATAAGCCAAGAACGACTCAGGCAGTTCTGGAATTCACTGGAGGGGTCAAAATCTCGATCGGGTATGTCCAGAAAAGGGCCCCTGGTTGCCAAAAATAAGACCATCCAAGGGGCAGCTGATAATCAGCATTCATCATTGTCCTTCGCAAAAACAATCAGGCAACCCGCAAACGTCCAAAAATACAGGTGCCACAAAAAATCGCAGACTTAAGGCAAGAAATGGTCATTCTGCATGCAGTTTCAGAACAGCAACTCCCCAAATAAGATTCAGTTCTGTTTCCAGCCATTGGATTTAAGAAAAATAGCTTTTCTAACTTTTACAGTGATTGTGGCTTGGCAATCGATAATACCTCCAAAAATCCTGTCATTCCTAGCCCTCCATAGGAAATAAATAGTGGCAGAAGCGGTAAGGAGGTAAAAAATCTTGGTACAGTTATCAAAACCTTGCTCAAAGATACTATCATAAACCTGGTGCAAGTTTGGCCTCATCATTAGTCAATTGAGCCAAGGAAGTAACGTATTGACAACCTTGAAAGTGAAACTGCATTCATAAAATAGGTGGGATAGAGTTTCCAAGTCAGAATGACAAAAACAGCAACTGTTTTTAGTGATAATCCCACGATCAGCCAAAACATCAGAAGTTTTCAAACCGCCTTTGAAAGCAAGCCATGCATAAACAGAGTAGCGAAGAGCACCATTTTTATGCCACACAAATTTGTACCAATTAACAGTATTCAAATTGCTATAAAAATTGGTACGAAAATCATGAAACTTAGGATTTTGCTTTCCCAGCCATTGGTGGTTTTCCTCCTGGCTCCCAATACTAACAGATTGAATAAGAGATGAAATATGGTTGTCAAAAACAGGAGGAATAGCCCAATTATTCCCATTTATAATATTAGCCACCTTCCAATCAAAGCATTGTGTATAAGCAGAGATAGAGTTCATTTGTTTCAAATAATCAGCAATTGACATACCACCACACCAAGGGTCCCAGATGAGAGAAAGCCTATAGGTCGGGTAGACAGAGAAAGAGATACAGCTTTTTATACTCTCAGCTTTGTTACATAGAAATTTCCAATGTTGGGAGCAGTTCTTAGCCATAAATAGTTAATCAAATCATGGATGAAAAAAAAATTCTAAGTATTGTTCGTAATGTATGAAGTTGCCTTCATACAGATGACGTCCATAGTACAAAATTGATGTGTATATTTTCGTCCATACAAACAAGTAAATTGTTTGAACTGTTCATTCGGGATGATCTTGGGTTCATACAGATGATGTCTAGAGTAAGAAATTGATGCATACATTTTCATCCATACGAACAGATAAATTTTTTAAAATGTTCGTCCATGACAATCTTTAGTTTGTACAAATGACGTCCAAAGTATGAAATTGATGCATACATTTTCATCCATACAAACAACAAATTTGTTAAACTATTCATATTGTATAAACTTGTGTTCGTATAGACGATTCCAAGTGTACGAAATGAACTCCTCCATTTTCATACCAAACGAAATATGATTTGATTAAAACTAATAGTACTGAACGATATAAGATTCGTACTATATGATGTGCGTGTACGAGAATGTTTCGTACATGATCGTATGAGCAAACTTTGAACTATTCGTATGTACAATCATCGATCATATTGTACAATCATTAACAGCCATACTGTATAATCATAGACAGTCAAAATTGAAAATTTAAAAATTTTGGATGATTTTTTATGTCTTTCCTATATAAAGTCCTTTAAAACTATTTTAAATGAATCCTTCTTCATTTTTCTTAAGAGAAAAGGTGTGAGAGTGATTTGGGATAGTGTTTGAGAGAGAATTTTTAAAAATTATTAAGAGTGTGAAGGGTTCATATGGTTACTCAAAGGTAAGAATCTTTTTGTGTTTGTAGCAAATATCATCCTTATCTTTTTGAAGAAGCTCAAGGGGAGATCTTTGAAGAAGATATGGTTCTTTGACAACACTTGGAAAGTATGAAAGGACACCGGTTCTCTACCGACACTAAGAGGGTGTGAAACGACGATGGTTCTCAGCCGACACTTGGAGAGTGTGAAAGGATGATGGTACTTTGCTAACACTTGGAGGATGTGAAAAGATGACGGTACTCTATCGTACCAGGGATTGGTAGAAGAGAAGATAAATGAAAAGGCTTCTCCGCCTTGCTGTGGGAGCAAAAGGAGAGTAGCTTTAGTAATAGTGCAATACTTGAAGAGGGAGTCTTGAGGGAGTGAATGTAGTCTAGTTGGACCAAACCACTATAAATTACTGTATTTTTTTATATTTTCGTATTTTTATTTTTAGCAATTTTATTTTGGTGGATGAAATTTTTATTTTGGAAAAAAAATCAAATTGTGTTAAAGTTATTAAATAATTTTTTTTTTAATTCCAAGAAAGTTTTTAAAATAACCAATTTACCCCCCCCCCCCCCCCCCCCCTCTTGGTTAGCATTGGGACAATTACTATAAGTCTAACAACCTATACGGACTTTTCAAGTGATATAAGAGACTTGTTTCAAAAATTAAGGTTTAGACAACTTTTTAAAAATGACCATAGCTACTTTTGAAAACCATAACACACCTGAAGGGTATTCGTTTAGTAGACCCCCATTATTTGATAATATCCCTTTTAATTTTTGAAAAATATGAATGTCTATTTTTTCCAATCGCTTAACTATTGCATATAGATTTTAGTACAAGAAGGATACACTAAGCCAATTAGACTTATAGATGACATTAGAACTGAAACACCATTTGTTGACTGAATTGTATAAGAAAGATACTTAGCTCAGTTAAACATAAAATATTTGAACATTTTTTTCTGTGCACTTAAATCTGAAGACTACATGTGTGTTTCTACCTGTAAAAGTGGAAAATAAATCTGGGATAGACTTTGTATCACATATGAAGGGACTAATAAAGTGAAATAATCTAGATTAAATATTTTATTGCATTATCATGAACTATTTTGCATGAAATTAAATGAATCGATCACTGACATGTACACATGTTTCACTCAAATAGTCACGTCCTTACATATTTAGGTAGGAAATTAACGAATGCAGAGAAAGTGAATAAAATATTTCATTGTTTACCTACTACTGATGATTCGACTATTATTACAGAGTCTAAGGATTTTACTGTTTATTCTATTGACAATCTTCTTGGATCACTAATTGCTTATGAGCAAGTAGTGACTCAAAGACAGATTGATGTAGGAGAGAAGCAAAAGGAGAAAAACATAGCATTGAAAGTGGATGACTCGAAAAGTGATCAGTCTTAGCCTAAAGATGAAGATAACATTACTTTAATGACAATGTAATTCATGAGTTTTCTAAAGAGGAAGAAAAGGAGACGTTAGTACTGGAAAAAAGGTATGTTTCACAAAAAAATGTTAAGGCTTCTAACAATGTGATTTGCTATGAATCTAGAAAGTCTGGACATATCAAATCTGAATGCTCTAATATTAAAGTCAATCTTAGCAAGGATATGGTGGAGGAGAAAACAAATGTGATGATGGATAAGAAGAGATTGCAGAGAGCTTTTTAGGCGGACTCAGCTTTAAATTCTTTAGAAATATAAGTACAGGAAGAAGTCACCAACTTGTATTTAATGGCTGACAAGCTTTATCAGTTAGATCAAGAAGAGGTATGTGACTTAACTTATGAAGAATTATTTGATATTTTTGAAAAAATTCATACAACATTTGAAAACTCAAAAAGATGCATGCTAGGTTAAATTTGATTTTTCTTAAATTAGAAAAATAGCATGAAATCCTTAGGAAAGATCACACGTTGATTGATAATAACCACATAAAACTATTGGATGAATATGATGAATTGAACAAACAGCATAAACTATAAAAATAATCCCACACTAAACTTGAAAAGGATTTTAAAACATTTATGAATGAATATGATAATAGAGAGCATTATTTGAAAGTTGGCAATGCTGTGTTAAAAAGTACAAACTCATTTTTTGAAGCTCAATTGAAAGCACTTGGAAAAAATAGAATTCCACCTACACGTGAATAATTTTTTAATTGTAATAAAAAGACAAATTTTAAAACATAGGAAAAGTCAGTTTAATACATGTAGATTAATAAATTATTTTTCTAGAGTAAGATGTTTTCCTTGTAGATTACTTGGTATATCTCATACACTTGTATTATTCATAATAAAACTCATAAGAGTGGATCATTTGAGAAATTTAGAAGCTATTCTACTTGGATTCAGAGGAAATTAGGGTGGGAGATTTTATCAATTTAAAGTGAGCATGGAGGAGAAATTGAAAATAAAAACTTAAAATTTTTTATAAAGAATAAGGAATTGATCATAATATTTCAGCACTTAGAATCCCTCAGCATAATGGGATAGTCAAAAGAAAGAACAAGATATTAATTAAAGTCGACAAAGCCATATTGGCAGAATATTTACTTCTAAAATATTTTTGGGCTGAAACAGTCAGTACAACTTGTTATGTTTTAAATATGATGAACATTAGATCCAAATTAAATAAAACACTCTATAAAATTCTTAAGGTGAGAACATCAAATTTTCCATATTAACATATTTTTGAATGTAAGATGCACATTCATTATAATGGGAAAACTCTTTTAGGAAAATTTGATACAAAATCTAATAAAGGAATTTTTCTTGGATACTTTAGTGTTGGAAAATCTT